GTTCGACTATGATATGAAAAAGATATAATATCTAAAACAACTACTAATAAATTGGAATCATAAATGTGATAGCAAATCGGATGGATTTTGATTGGTCAAAACTCTTTTCATATCATATCTTTTCCATCACTTTTTTAAAACACAAATATGTAAAGTGCAAGGTTCTAATAAAAGATAAATGAAAATGCAAATACATTATACAAAATACAAAGTTTTTCACTCTATATATTTGTAATTGTATTCTTACCAAACTGAGTATAAAAAGAAATACAAAAAGGTTCCTAATGAAGGGTTAAATAAAGTAATTGCAAATCACCCTTAAATAAAGGGTAGGTTTTAATAAATAATTAAAATATAAGGGATGTCTAAGTAAATCACCCTTAAATTTATACTTTTATATATACACGTTATCTCAAAAAAAGTTTAAACCAATAAGAAATCGACATCTAGGCTTCCAGGAGCTTCGCCATCCATCTAGCGTATGCTAAAAGGTGGCATCCTTTGTAAATACACTACACGGTGGGCCGCACTTTGGCGCGTCATTTTGAATATGGTGGGTGGGCCAGCCCATCCGCTCCTTCTCATTTGGACACCTAATAATGCCAGCAATACCAACAGAATACGACGGAATGAGAAGGATATGATGTGAATCTGTGATATGATAATGAATTCATCCTTCTTCAATTTTAAAACTTAAAAAATTAAAATCCGCCGAATGTTCTTCCTTCTTCGCGTTCGAGCCATTGAAAAGGTAAACGAAATATGAATTTCAAACCTTGATTTAGAATCAAACGTGCGGGATGCAAATCCGACGGTCTCCAGTCTCTTGACGTAAATTCCTAAGCCAATAACTACGTAATGATAGTAATTATGATGTACTTCCTACCTTTTTATCGTACATGAGTCGCATGGCATCGGTCTTCGCTGAACATCACATGATGATTTCATGTCGCACGCTTWTTGAGAAGGAAAGGTGAAGGTGGCATCATTGATCAGTTAGTCGATTGGGGATCAATTGATCGGCGATGTGGTTATTCTTAAATCTACGGTCGATATAGTTTCATAAATATCTGATTGTTTGTATAAGAAAAGACCGAAACTAACAACAAACATTGCAAGCAAAGCAGTTTTATAACATTTCCCTCTCATTGTACAAATGTACAACTAGCATGAAGCCTTGCACGGCTCTTCTTCATCCTCGTCTCAACAAGACTCAAATGCAGGACAAAACATTTATTTTCTCCATTTATCTTCCCACGAAAGGAAAGATTTCCAATGGGTAATTCTGAGATAGTATTGGCGAGGACAGACCGATTAATTCGCCGGAAGCTCGGAATTGCTCTATTTCCCCTTTTCGGCTTTCTGCTCCCCGTTTCCCGGGCCGGGCTCGGGATGTCCAAACGGCGAATTGTAAGGAGTAATATAGGTTTTCTGGTTATCTGAATCAACGCAAGGAATTCGGTGTTTCTTTGTAAGTATCATTGAGTTCGTTGGATGATTTTTTTTTTCATCGACCATCGTTAAGGGTTTTCCAATTTGTTTATGTGTATGGTTTGAAATTTTGAATGAACATGAAGAAACTTCCGTCGATGTGTTTTACCAATCAGCGGRAAATTTAAAGAAATTCGAACTGTTATGTTGATTATTATTTATTTATTGATTATTTTTCCGGAAGGAGGATGATGGCAAAATTCGAACCTGGGAAGAAGAATTGCGGAGATCCTGGTAGCGGGAGGTTGTTGCATGAGCTTGAAGTGCTGAGCAAAGCCCTTTATCTCGATAAAAACCCGCCAAATGGTATGGTTTCTGTCTCCGGTGGTCGTTCCAAATCTGCCGGGAAAACCCATGCCTCTGACATAAAACTCAAAACTAGGTTTCTCAAGGAAGACTTGTCTCACAAGTACATGGATTCGTCGCAGAAGGACAAGAAGTCTTTATGGGGTTGGAAGGCGTTGAAAGCCTTGTCCCACATTCGTAGCCGTAGATTCAATTGCTGTTTCTCTCTACAAGTGCATTCCATCGAAGGGTTGCCGCCAAATTTCAATGGCGTCAGCCTCTGCGTTCGCTGGAAGAGGAAGGAGGGCGAGTTGCAGACCCGCTCGGCTAGGGTTTTGGAAGGAACGGCTGAATTTGAAGAGATCTTGACGTACTGTTGCCCCGTCTATGGTAGCCGTAACGGACCTCACCATTCTGCCAAGTATGAAGCCAAGCATTTCTTGCTATATGCTTCTGTGGATGGTTCTCCTAACCTGGATCTGGGGAAGCATCGGATTGATCTTACCAGGTTGCTTCCTCTTACTTTAGAGGAATTGGAGGAAGAGAAGAGCTCTGGCAAGTGGACGACTAGCTTCAAGCTCTCAGGAAAGGCCAAAGGTGCTGCTCTGAATGTTAGTTTTGGGTTTTTAGTAATAGGAGATGGTCGGGTTGAGTCTACGGGTAACAGAAATGCTCCTCAACCTTTGAACCTGAAACAGAATAGATTGAGTGCCACAAAACCTGTTATTGATTTGGATCTTTGGGACAGCAAGGGCTTGCATAGGCGAGCAGGAAGCCTTCCATCTCGATCTGTAGAGGATGCGAAGATTCTTCATGAGGTCTTGCCAACTTCAAGGTCAGAGTTATCCACTGCGGTGAGTTTGCTCTATCAGAAGCCTGACGAAAGCAAATTCAGCTCTCTGTTGGATTCTAGGCCCAAATTTAAAGTTTCCTCTGAAAAAGTTGAACCTCTGAAACCAAATTCTGACTCTCCCTCTGAATGTGCAAGAGGAGATTGTGAAAATTTATGTGAAGATCCTGAGTTTGCTGTGGTTGAGAAGGGGATAGAAATTTCTGAGAAGAAAGAAGTGAAACTCGAATGTAGCACTGAGGAGGCTGTTGGTGATTCTTCTGTTGAAACTATCAAGGTCTCTGATATAAATAAGGGTGATGAGATGTCCCCTGAAGAGGACAGCAAGACTAACCCCCAAGATGAGGCCTATGGTAATTACAGAAAGGAGCTTTTGGTGAATGACTTTGATTCCAAAGAAAACAATATCTGCACAAAAGAGTCAGTAATGGAGGAATTAGAGCAGGCTTTTCATAACCTGTCACTTTTGGAGTCAGAAGTATTAGATTCTCCCCGGACAAAATGTGAATCACCTGAGCAAGCAGATTACACGGAGGCTAAATTGAATTATAAAGCTAGTAAAATGGGAAAGTCTCTGAGTTTGGATGATGCTACTGCATCAGTTGCAAGTGAGTTCTTAAGCATGCTTGGGATTGATCACAGTCCATTTGGGTTAAGCTCTGACAGTGATCCTGAATCTCCAAGGGAACGACTTCTGAGGCAGTTTGAAAAGGACACTCTAGCTGGTGGCAACTACATCTTTGATTTTGATTGTGGCAAGGAGTCAGGATTTGGTTATGATGCCCTGACTGGTCCTGGGTGGGGGGAATTTTCCGAGGGCTTTCAACGAACATCAGTTGTTCAAGATGCTGAGTCAGAGCATCATTGGGAAACAAAGGCAATGGAGAATAAAACAAGGGTAAAAATGCTGGAAGACTTGGAAACAGAGGCTTTGATGCGAGAGTGGGGCTTGAATGAGAAGATTTTTCAGAGTTCTCCACCTGACAACTCTGGTGGATTTGGTAGTCCAATCCATCTACCGCCTGAAGAACTACTTGAGTTACCTCCTCTTGCCGAAGGGTTGGGTCCCTTTGTTCAAACGAAGGATGGGGGATTTTTGCGTTCTATGAATCCTTCACTCTTCAAGAATGCTAAGAATGGTGGGAGCTTGATCATGCAGGTCTCTAGTCCTGTTGTAGTGCCTGCTGAAATGGGTTCTGGTATAATGGAGATACTACAACGCTTGGCCTCCGTTGGAATTGAAAAACTCTCTATGCAGGCCAATAAGTTGATGCCTTTGGAAGATATTACTGGGAAGACGATACATCAAGTAGCATGGGAAACTGCACCTTGTCTTGAGGCATCTGAAAGGTATTTTAGCTCACCATTGGCATTGGTTTACGAAGTTTGAAAAACTGTTTCTTTGTTGCCTTCTTTAACTTCCTGGCATTGTTGTCTTACGTCTTCCTTGGTCGTTACAGACAGGTTTTGTTGCAGCATGAAACAATGGTAGGGCAAGATACAAGTGGTGGAAGAAAGAAATGTAAAACTAGGCACAGATCTAATATCTTGAACTCAAGCTCCTTAAGGGGAGAGATAGGCTCAGAGTATGTCTCTTTGGAAGACCTTGCTCCTTTGGCAATGGATAAAATTGAAGCTCTCTCAATAGAAGGTTTAAGAATACAATCTGGCATGTCTGATGAGGATGCACCATCAAACATTAGCCCTCAATCAATTGGGGAGATCTCAGCCCTTGAAGGTAAGAGAGCCAATACCAATGGCTGTCTTGGTTTGGAGGGAGCTGCAGGGTTGCAGTTGTTAGACATTAAAGACTGTGAAGATGATGTTGATGGGTTAATGGGGCTCTCAATAACTTTAGATGAGTGGATGAGGCTCGATGCTGGGTTAGTTGATGATGAAGACCAAATTAGTGAGCGGACTTCAAAGATACTTGCTGCTCATCATGCTAAGTGCACAGAYTTGATTACTGGAGCACAAAATGGAGACAAAATACATAGCAAGGGTTCTGGTAGAAGGTATGGTTTGTTAGGCAATAACTTTACTGTTGCACTGATGGTGCAGCTTCGAGATCCCTTGCGGAACTATGAGCTGGTTGGTGCCCCAATGCTTGCCCTAATTCAAGTGGAGAGAGTTTTTGTCCCTCCAAAGCCCAGAATATACCACATGGTTTCAGAAGAAAGAAGGAACAATGAAGAAGATGATGAGCCTGAATTACTGGTGAAGGAAGAGGAGATAAAGGACAAGGCATCAGAGAAAAAAGATGAAGAGGAAGGCATACCTCAGTTCAAAATCACTGAAGTCCATGTTGCAGGTCTGAAGACTGAGCCTGACAAGAAGAAACTCTGGGGTACCAAAACACAACAACAGTCTGGGTCCCGTTGGTTGCTTGCAAGTGGCATGGGAAAGAGCAATAAACACCCATTTATGAAATCAAAGGCTGTTTCAAAATCATCTCCACAGATGACAACAACAGTGCAGCCTGGAGACACCTTGTGGAGCATCTCATCACGTGTTCATGGTACTGGAGCAAAATGGAAAGAATTGGCAGCGCTGAATCCACATATAAGGAATCCAAACATTATCTTTCCAAATGAAACTATTAGATTACGATGAATTGAGCATCCAAATTTAAAATCACCTGAATGGGATTGTTGTACCAAATGCCCACCTGTTTAGGCATTGTAATCTGCTCCAAATAAATCTGGGTTGAGTTATTGTGTAGGCTGCAGAACTGGGTCGAAATGTAAATGAAATTCTTAGTGAATGTAAGCAAGATGGTTTTTGATAGTAAACAATAGTGATGGTTTCTGTCCCTAGAGTATTGCCTTGTATTCATTTCAACTTTTCAAGTATGGTTATTGGCTAATGGTCAGCCATGAAGCAAAATAGCAGATGTTCTTTTGCCCTTAACCCTTGTCTTCAGCAAATCGAATCTTCTGTAGAAGAATGGAAGCACACATGGAGGCATTGTAATTCATGTGGCATTTGATTTTCTAATATTTTTGTTATGCAGGAACAATGCAAATAGCTTCCTTTCTTCCAGGACTTGCAAACAATGCTATCTGCCAGGATTTGCAAACGATACTTGAATGAATACTTTCAAAGTGCTTTAAGGGCCCGACAGATGCATTTTCTCCTTTTTTGAAATGGTAAAAATATCCTACTCCCCTCCCCCCTCCAGAAAGAAAAAAAAACGAAGCAATGGATTTTCATTAAGAACTCCCGGGGCAAGGCCATAAGGTGAACTTATCTTTCTCTCCTTTTTTACTCTAGATTATCTATTTCTTTTTTCTCTCTTTTTTTTTTGTGTAGTTTCTACTATTATATTGAATTGGTGATTGACAAATGCGGCTTCCTATACTTTCATTTGAAAATGGTGAGAGACAGCCTTGTAGGCTCTCCTAGTCCATCAATTGGCGGACATGAAGGCTATACCAATGATCATAATCTTTCTGTTTGCCAAAAAGATGCAATTTTGCAAATAGATTTTGCTATAATCATTTTATTAGCGGTGATTGATGGCCTTGTAAGTGCCTTTTCATGGAACACATCTTGTTTGGTCATATTATTATTATTTATGATGATGACCATTTTTGCACAGGGAGACCCCCCC